TTTTTATTCATCAACAAAAAACGTATAAAGGAATCAAGTAAAAGGCTGCCAGATTATACACATTTCAACAATCTCTCTCTATTTATTTTTCAGTCTTCTATGCCTTGTCATATCATGGAGGGAATTTTTTTGAATACAAGAATATGTTCTAGGATTATCACTTGTTAAAGATCCAACAGTCATTTTAAGGTCTTGTTCTCATTCAAAAGGCACAGGCTGAATTACCGCAATTTCAAAGTCCCTTACTTTTTCAATATAAGGAGGAAAACAGTGAAACAATATATTTCCTTTTCCTGTGAAGCAGACTGGAGAAGCAGCATAGACAAGAGCGGTGCCGTTAAAAACTCAACCCTTCTAACTGCAGCATGACTTAGGCTATACAGATATAGTCTATCCTGGTGGTTCTCAAACTTTTTAGACTTGAGGAACCCTCAATAGGCTCAAAGTACCTCTCAGAAAATGCCAGATTTTCGTTTTCACTTGATTTTTTTTTACTACAGAAAAATAATAGAGCAATTTCTCTGTTGCAAAGAACACAGAAAGGCCACAAATCAGAATGTTTTTGACACTATGGATTCCTCTTTGAAGTCTGGGTTTATCTTGTAAATCATGTTTACACACCTAACAGTGCTAACATTGCGTGACACCCCATGGCACCCCTTGAAAGGACCTCAAGGCTCCCTGGTTGTTCTGAACTGGGGGCTTGGACACATAATAGGCTTGCACTGTTGTAATCAGCCTTTACACTGGTGTAAACAAGAGGCATCAGATGACAGACTCCTGCACCACTGCAAGTGCCCTTGAATCTGTTGTAAATAATCTGTGGGAAAATATATGAGGGTAAGGCCATCTGACCACTTCCATCCCGAGGTAGCCATTTGCTCTGGGCAGCACTGTAACTGAGGGGAGATGACCAGGGCAGCATTCAGCCTGTTTCTGCATAATCTCCTTGACCAGGGAAGAATATCAAGCCAAATGAAATCCTTGTTTCTACAGTTCCACATTAGCTGCCACATACCTGCTGTCTGTATGCTGATTATATTTCTATTGCTACCAATAAATCCAAAAAAAAAGAACATTTCTACACTCTTAGGACCAAGTTCTTCTTATATCGCTAAAGAAAGTGTAGCAGAAGAAAAAAAATTATCTAAGCACATAATGTTAACCAAATGTTAATTATCACAGACCTTTATAAACCTACCCAAATTTTCCTTGTGCCTTTGTGTAAGGGGAAAACAAATTACCACATTCCACAAAGACCAATTCAAGAAGTGATATTGGAGGAACTTTGAATGAGTCCATTTGCCCCAAAAGCTTGGCAACAGATTGCTTTTCCTAGTTTATACCATTCACATATGCCATCAAATGGAACAGGAACAAGATTAGGCCCTGCACTTTTAGTAGCAAATCAAATTTAAAGTAATTATGAAAGGGAAAAATAATTGTCTGACTCCTTGTTGCACGGTAATTTGGGGCAGCTCGTAGAGCCCTTAAGCCCTGGATTGTCCACACACTAACACCTTAAAGTGGTTTTAAGCACTCGTTATGCGGCTCAAAGTTACACCACTCCAAGGCAGGATTGCCTCTGATCAGCTTTACCCAGCTCCTGTTCCACTAAGGTGTGGCCATTTCCCACAGATGTGCCACCCAAACAGAAGTCCTCCAGTATCCCAGGATCTCTCACACCCCCTGCCCACAGAGTAGGGAGAGAAGCCTGTAATGGCAACTCACAGTTATAGCTCCTAGTCCTGTCCATGCTTGCCAGGCCTCTAGTGGCAAGTCACAGCCATGCAGGTGGGGGACAGTCAGAGGAGGTTTCTAGACTAAGAGTGTGACTGCTCCAAAGTCCAAGCTAGCACTAACACCGGTCAACAGTTGTACGGCTCCCAGCCTAAGGTGTAATAAGATCCTCTGATGATCTGCAATTTGAGATTTACCTCTTTGTGGTACAAATAAAAGAAAAACACAGTGTAGAATACTTGAAATCTTGAGCAACATAATCATGATGAAAATATCCCTTTTTAAAAAAAATAAACCTTCACTTGTACAATTTTTGAACCGTTTTCATGTAGTATTGAAGTCTGATATCTCACCTGAAAAAGTTATTTTTCTGTAGCACAGTCAATACTGAAAAAAACAGATGATCCCTGGTTTCTTTAGTGAGGGACCCCTGCAGCAGCAAAGCAACCTATGTTTTATTTCCGTTTAAGAAACAGATAATTCAAAACAATGGAACTGTTTGAGCCGGCTCTACACCAATGGAATTACATTCTAAATCTTGCATCTGGAACAAGTTTTCACTTAGCTTCCAACCCTCAACTTGATGCTGACCTCTGCCTTTCAGCCACTAAGAAAGTGTTGCCCATCTTACTGAAAGCAGGCTATCAAAACAAAGCTCCAACTAAATAAATGCACAAAACAGCATGGCTGTGATAGAGTTAGACAAGCTTTCGAATGCAAGAATACAAGAAAGGTGACCTAAAGAAGAATGCCTTGCATTTGAAAGCTTGTCTAACTGTATCCCAGTTATGTAGTTGTTCCAAAAAATGATATTACCCTAAAAAATCCTTGCCTCTCACATGATTCCTGGACTATCACGGCTACAACATCACTCTAACACTACCAAGAAAGCATATGCAGAGAACCAGGCACTATGCCAGGTGCCATGTCTGTACATAGGAAGAAACAATAGTGACTCCATTTCTTCCTTTGGCTCCAAAGTTGATTAACTCTTTCTACCACAGAGCTATCCATTTCCCCTTTTGTGAAATATTTACAAGAGGATATATCTTTACAAAGCAGTCTTTCTCGTGGAAGAAAGGCAATTTAATTGTTCTTTGTAATGCCTCCGAGATCTTCATAACCAGAAAAGTGAGGAACACTGCTACAGTGACTGTCTCCATCTCTGGCAACATCACATAAGAATCAGGAATACCTTATGATTAACAATATTAAAGACAGTATTCCCCCAGATGTCTGATCTCTGTCTATTGTCTCCATCTCTGAACTGCTACAGAAACAAATTCTGTCTTCATCTCATCTCACAGAGAGCTCTGAAGCCTGACTGATAAGATTCCAAAAATTCGAGATCATGTGTTACTTCATTTGGCACGCTACCACCTTCTCAATGACCTGCAGAAAATGGAGTCTCTAAGTTCAAGAGTGATTTTGTCATCATGGGCCAAACCATAGCATATTTAAGCATTTCAGGGTAGCTTGATCTCTCTGAAGGAACAATGTTAACAATCCCTGTCAATAAAGGATCAAGTTTTTCTTCACTGATTTTCACCAATCACAAGAAGCAAAGGCTTCAAAGGTAGCTGGCTGGGCATTCCTAGAGTCTCAAATTGCAAAAATGTCTGACAATTAGGAAAGGTGATGAGTTTTTGCTCCTGTCTTCACCATTGGTTCAATTATAGCAAACCACTCAATCTGAATTCTCATCTTATTTGTGGTTTATACTAGAAAATTCCCTGCAGTAAGAAGCATATATCTAAAATCTTATGAAGACCATATAATTTAATAGTCTTCCATTGGAATGAAGTCTTATTCCCAGAGAACAGGGCAAACTGTTACCAGTGAATTAAGCAGTAGGGATTGTTGAAAAATTTCAGCTGAACTTCAAAATAAAAAATGTCCATGATAGCCTTCAGTGGAATGTTTCTCATGAGAATTATTGTTCCAGACCTTCACGCCTATGTTTTCTATGGTGTATACACCCAAATGCTGCAGTGTAATTGCAAAGTAATGGAAACTTGGAGGAAATATTTTATCTTGGGTCAATTTGGAAACATAAAACATTGTGACACTTACAAAACTCAAGTCCTTCTGACTTTCTCATCCTGGTAAAATGTTTTAATACTTCAACATTTCCCCCTGATTTTGGGTGAAAGCAAGTCTTATTCATAGTGAGCTCTACAAAGGCACAGTGAGGAGTTTCTCCTTATTCCTTGCTTAATCTAAGATAGGCAGATCAAGCTTAAAAATTCCCCTGATTTCAGTGGTGTCAGTTCAGGGGTAGAGTACTATAGTTAAAATGTTTTAAGCATTGCCTATTCATGTGCTACTAGATGAAACTTATTCATGTTCACAAGGACATAAGAGCTGTTTTGCCTCATCATCTTTCCTGACTACACCTTCAGGTTTGGTTTGTCTATCAGGTAGATGCCACTGAGGGTCTTTCCAAGAGAAAGTAGGCCAAATGAAGTTTGATTCATCATCTGTCATGCTCAGCACTACCACATCCTTGTTATTTCAGTGGGATGATTTGCACAGTAAAAGACTCTGTGAGCATAGATGGCAAAATCTGCCCCTGTTTTTTGATTCAGCGTGAGCACGAAATATAAGACTAACCAAAAAAGAGCACATTACGGGCTGTTTAAATATGCTAGAAATTCAGTTCACATTGCTTTCTTCCTCCTAGATGCAGAAAAGTTACCAATATGTTTATAGTTGTGCATTGAAAGTAATATTTTTTTCAAGCATATGTGCATAGTTACTATGCACGTCAGTTGTCCAATTCACAGAAGTGGGATCACTTAAGAGATTAAGCATTTTCAAGGTTGCTTCCTTATGGCAGGTACAGAAAACTAACTATTGAAAAATTACAACAAAAAATGAAAAATATTGTGCTTGCTTATGTGATTAATCTAACAACATATGGTCATATAATGCTAATCACATAAATTACCAGGGATGTTAATACAATGTATGATCACCTCCAGTGACCAATAAGCACCTACAGCTATGTATATCCCTAGACTTTTGGTACCTCACTTCTGGTATTTAAGCTACTGCTCAACACACTGCCAGCTGTCTTTTACATTACCATCTTAGCATTAAAGTAATACTTCAACTGCTGATCAAACATGCAGATACTTCTACCTCGACTTTTGCAGGTTGCTATCTATCAGAATTAAAAAGGCTGAGCAAAAAGGTTGGTTTAAATCTGTTGTCTTAACCATTGCCTCCATCATCTGTTTCTTTCAGTCAAGACTTACCACAGCTTCAGGATCTTTGCTTTCCTCATTGTTGTACCCATAGTAATCAGGAATCTTATCCGTATCCTGTATGTTCCCTTGTGCTCTTACACCCTTGTCCGAGTGACAAGACTGGCAAATTGGTGCATTACCCATATCAGTTCTTCTATTAATTCCTACAAGTGGGTTTGTCCTCGCTCTGTGCCCAGTGCTCCAAAAAGATCAGATGACTTAGTCCAGAAGGATGGTCCTATGCCCTGCTCCCCCAACTACCCTTCACCAGTACTCCCTTTTGGTTTGCTGGCATGTGTTAAACAAAACTCGAAACCCCAGCAACTGCAGACAGCATCCAGTGACCATTTCCAATTCAGGCACTGTCTGTCTATTTTTACACCTACCAGGCTAGCTATGCATGTAAATGGAGTTGGGGGGGTGGGGGGGAGCAGCTTTCCAGCATATAGCCAGCCTGCCTAGCATGGGAGAGTTAAAGTCCTACTGTGTGAAATGCCTCTACATGTGAGGGTTATTGAATTACCCAGTTGCATGCCTTTGAATGTTTTTATTTTTTCCTACTGCTCTCTGTCTTGCTATGTTTACATGCAGCACTCAATTTCAGAATGTTGCTAATGCCTTGCACGTTTCCAACACAAGAAAACTCAAAAAAGATTATTAATACAAATGACTTCTATTTGATATTTATAAAACGAAAAGACAATCAAGATGTATTAGCACATTTTTCATGGCCTTATATTACAATGATTCATGTGACATTTAATGTTCACTGAAATATTAATCACAACAAGTTCTCTTTGGAGTGCTTTATAGGTTGGGTAGCATTTTGTAGTAGCTCAGTTGTAATTATAGCATCCATTAATGTCCCTTTTGGCTACTTTGAGTCTTATTTAGACCCAAGCTATATTTATTTAAAAGCAACAGCAACAAAAAAAATCAGAGTATAAAGGCTTTCCCACTTTCTTTGCACTTGTATTACATATGATAAGAACCACACTGAACACTCTCTCTTGGAGCTAGCTCACTGTTCCATTAGAGCCTCACTGCAGCACTTAAAACAGGCAAAGTTAGCATAAAATATATTACACAGTAAATTCATGTCTAAAAATCAGTTTATTGCTCAGCACTGTAGTACTGTATAGTAAGCACACCGTACCTTAGCAAGGTGCATGCAAGCTTAGGGCAGAAATGGACATAAAGCAAGAATCTCACCTGAAATTCTTCAGAATTTGAGAAGATCCTCAAAGAGCTACCGCATTTACCTCTCTTCAGAGTTTCATGCTATTGCAACATTTAACACACAGCAGTCACCACCAACATTGTCCTATTGATTCCTACCCAGTTACCCTTCACAGCTGTGAGAATTATAATCAGGATATTTTTCCCCTTTAGGACTATTGAACTCTATAGGGTTCTCTTTCATGTTAATTATATTCAGGTCAATTTACAATCCGCTCTGTTCTGTTATCTTGACTGACAAGTGTTCCAGTATGTGATTGGTTCAATTCCCCTGCCAAGCCTTGGGCACTATTATTTATAAACTACTGTGTCCTAGGTGACAGTAGAAACACAAAAAGCTAACTTCATCATCACATACAGCTATGTGCCTACCTAGCTTTCTTCATATACACATAGAGCTATATAAAACCTGATTCACAAAATGTCCCTGACAGCAATCCTGCTACTCCATAGAAAAATAATGTACGTGATAGATTCTTAACTCCATGTCCAAGCAACTTGAACTTTAAAAGTTATTAATCAAAAAGATTCCAGCACAAATTAAGATTATGTATAATACAAGCGCTTTTCTTAACAACATAAGAGCAGGTTTATGATGATTTACTGCGGAGTAGACTAATTAGCTCTGCAGTAAAGCATCACAGTCTACACATGTGCTGGTATTAGGACACAGTAAACTAATTAACTCAGCCGTAAGATAGTACTGTTGGGGACAGTTGGGGACAGTACTATCTTATGGCAGAGTCATTAAGTGCAATTAAATGCACATGTAAACAGTGACCCCCAGGTACAAATTGCACCTGGTCAGCCCAGCCAGCAGAGAGCCAGACCCCCAGCTCTTGCTAGCCCCTTCACTACCTGACAACACCACCCAGAGTCTGGAGCTGACCCCCGCTATTCCAGGCACATGTGTAGATACTGTGCCCAGGAGCACTGTACTCCAGCTCAAACTGCTACAAAGCTTACTGTTTCACATATACGCCCAATGACTCACATCTAGAGATTTTCATTCATAAATATGGATGCAAGTAAGAGCTGTTCACTGAGGTCCTGATCCAGCAAAACACTTAAGCACGTGTTTTTTTCTTAAAATAAGAATGTATTTAAGCGTCTTGCTGGGCTGAGGCCAGAATAGGAAACTCTACTTTCTTGATCTTAGAGACATCATGAACTTGACATTTACTGAATTTTCCAAAAGAACTCAAAAGACATTTTAGGAGCTATACGTGCTCCTTAGTCTTACTACCAAGCAACTGTTTACACAAATATATCATCTTAGTATTACATTTTTCTTCCCACAGTTCAGTATGGAAAACCTAGCAAGACAGGGGAAACCTGTGAACTATTTATACATAGGCACAAACTAAGCAACAGGAAAAGAAACAACTAGTGAAATAAAAAATCCATGGCTTGTTAATGTTCTTCAGCTGTAGGAACCTCAGCTGCTAATTATAATAAAAGATAACATATTTACAGACCATGGTACAGTTTGCAGACTTGCTTCAATCAGCTACACATCAGCAGTGTGAAAATCAGTGAGAGCAGAATACAAAGTCCTCAATACTTTGTTTTAAAGATGAATTGCTGTAAGTTCCCAGTTCTATCCGAAACCTTGTTCCTTGAGGCCTAGTACCTAGTTTTTTGATGGGTCCCATTACACAAATGTAAGAAAAGCAATCCTACCGATGGAGAAAGAGAATGGTTCCAAAATTTCAAATGAGCTTGAAAATGATCCTTCTACTGATTTTATGCATAAGCTACGACACTTGGGTGTGACAGAGAGTTCCCTTCACAAATACAGGTCATTTCAATAAATAGAGAACATCTACAAGAAAGAAGGGACCCCAAGAGGACAGTGATGCCACATACAGATTTGAAGAGTTTACTTTTGATGAGATGTCACATCGCATTACAGACTTTTAAAAGGGAACTGGAGTGGGAAAACATGATAGCTTAAACCTGCTGTTCTCTGCAACTGCTGGTTCTTTAAATTCAGAGGTGGGGTAGGGTGTAAATCAACTCAGACATAAATTGTAGAAACATAAAAAATGGGTTTCTAAGGAGCAGATTTAGAAAAAACAATCACTCTGTTTACTGGCTAGCAGACTAGACATTTTTCCAAATGAAATGGCCTCATACTAAAAGCCCAAACAGGACAAGGTCTATTCGATCAACCAGAGGTTTTCCTATCATGTATCCTTACCAGGGTCTGAATGCAGCCCCTCCCCATGGTCATTTTTCTATCCCACTAGTTCCTTAAGATAAAGTAGTCAATTATGGTGCAACAAACTTATGAAAGAAAGGCTGGGGCATTAGCTAAAGAGAAAAGGATGATGAATACTGAGCAGCCTGCATTCCTTAGAAATAATGCTTGTAGACAGCTATGATCTGTGTAGATATCTGAGGGAGAGCAAGGGATAAGCTCTTTGCCAGAGTCCTTTTAACAATATTACTGTTGTTGTCAAAATGGTTCAAAGTCATTAGGGCAAATTACTCAGAAAGCAAACATTTTCATGTTTTGCCAATCTTAGTTACGGCACAATGCTCAAACAGAGTATACATTTTATGATGTAGGATTCAAAGCCCTTGTGGAAGGGCATACTTGCAATATCTTTGTAAGTTCTCATGCTCCTTTTGTCACTGTTATTATTTGGGCGGCATTACAGTTTTGCAAATCTGCCATACCAGGAGGCAGCAAAGAAACCAAAAACAAAGACATGGCTTTCAATTATGAAACTCTTAGAGCAGACATTGAAGTTTCTTAGTTCCTCATTTCGAACCAGATTTTGCTTTCAGCATGAACACAGAATACTGTTTGGGAGCCAATGATGCTGCTCCATATTTATACATAGAACTTGAAGTAAATATCTCTACACTACACTGTCGTCAATATCCTTATTCAGTTGCAAATATTAACACAAAATCCTCCAGATTTTTTTTACTTTTGATTTGGTTTAATGACTGATTGTGCAAAATTACAGAACTACTTAAAACAGTCATAGAGCCCTATTTAAACAACTACTGCATATGTAGCCAGACATATGCACCAACTCCATTGTCATCAAGTAACAGTGTACTTACAATAACAGGAGAAAAAAATTGTGGGGGAGGGGGGTTGCTGAAAAACAAGTGCCTCTTAACTGAGTGAGCTCACTACAAGCCCAATCCTAGAAGGAGAAGATGCCATATCATACACCAACCTAACTGAATAGCTTCCTACTGATTGGGGTTGGAATGGGAAACAACTGGTTGAAACCTGATCTCAGATAATGTTGATAACACAAGAAGTGACCAGAAGAACTAGTAAAGATTTTTCTCACCAGCATTTACAGAGGAAGTACGATTTAAATGTGCTTCTACTGGTCATGAAGCTGCTGTTAGATGGCAAAGTTGTTGCCTAATTAAGGAATTCTCTTTTCTATCTGTGTACACCTTGCTGCATACACACAGTCAAATAACCTGGGAGAATTCTCCCAGGTTTGTTCTTGTGGTAGAGGAAATTACCCAAAGCACACTACAGACACTCAATGCTGAAGCCTTTGAGTGGAGAGCATGCAGTGCTAACACTGTGCAGCCAGAGTGGGGGTTCTGTGCACACATCTCAGCGTGCTCTGCATGTTCCCTTAGTCAGCCTGGAAAAAGATGACAGCAGTGCATAGGGCAGCCCTGATTGGCTAACCCAGATGGTCCATGGTCAGCCTCTGTTGTCAGCATGTACAGACATTTACTGTCCCAGGAAAAACTCTCCTGGAAGTGATATAACCCTAGTTGTGCCCAGGATATTTTTCCCCTGGAGTAGCCATGTTTATGGTAGGAGAAAAAGCCTGAACATGTGCAAACTTGTGGTTTCTTCTGGGACAGCAGTGACTGTTCTGGAAGAAACTGAATGTCTGCACAAGGCCCTTGTGTATTCCATATAGACCTTGCTATCTCTATCCAAACTGTTTGTCACCTTCAGAGCATGCAACTACCTGATACCATTCTACACGTAGAAACCACCCAGTGAAGACCAGA